TTATATTAAAACGCTCTATTAATTCATCTGTATTTAATAACAACTGAAAAATGCTTCAGACTGAGAAATTTTTATATATTCTTACATTCTCAGAGTAATTATTGTCTAAAATGTCGTTTACTTTTTCATTCGGTAAATTAATAGGTAGCAGAGAGCTGTAAGCCAGGCTCGCTGGATGCCAGGTGAAGATTTCGAGGAAACTTTCCCTGCTCTATGGGTTCTTATGTTCATCACCCTATGACCCATTTGTACTATTGACAGACGCGGGAGTATGGAGTATGTTCAATGAAATTGTACTGTCAGTAGTGAGTACTCTGAAAAGAACAAGTCAAATACAAAAATGTAAAGGTAAAAAATAAGCCAGGAGTAGCATATGCATGCATAGATAGGGTAAACATATTTTTATAGTAATTTATTGTCGGACTCGCCTGAACTCGGTTATTGGATCCCCATCGTGTATGTCGGTTTGCATAGTCGGTTCTTCCCGCCATTAGGACTCAAGTTCTGGTTTTATTGGATCAAATACTATGCGGCCACTTTAGGTTTGCACAAACTTTTGATATCACTTCCTTATACTAATTAAGCTTTCATTGAAAATGCAGTCTTATCCAGCAATGATAATTTGTAAGATAGTGTTAAAGAGACAAGTTTTGACACTTGTCGGAGTTGAATAGGCTTATTTATATTGAAAGTCATATTACGATACGGCGCTAACTCATAATGACGTATACAATTTATAAGCCAAGATGAGAATCAAGTCCATTAAATAAGGTTCAGGTCAAAGAGTTAGGGATAGAGTTAGGCTGGTGGTTAATTCTTATTTAGCATTTATTAATTAATTAGCTTTTATTTTAGCCAAAGGCTTTCATATGTGACAACTTAATAGTGAGAAAAAACCCCAGTCCCCATAAAGGTCAAATCCAGAGATGCCTCATACACGTTTTTTAGCCGGCCCTGAGGAGCTAAGGTTTATGGATGGAAATTATTTCGATTTAGCTAGTTTTGTTCGTCAAATATGTATTAATTAGAATAGATCTATGATGAATTTTTCACATTATTAATTACATATTTGTTGGATTGAAAGCAAAATAATAGCATGGGCCTCAGAATCTATGTATTTATAAATCTATGTTTATGTAATTCTTTGTACTTCATCTTTCATGAAAATGTCATATAAAATTTGTACAATCGATTCACTTTTTACACGAGTTAGAAACCGATCTTATGTGCACTCTGCTTCTAAACTCATGCTTTATCAACCACCAGAAGGATCTTTCTACAGTCCACTAAAATACCAAAGTAAAATAACTCTACCTCTAGGAAATGCTGTAGCGAAATAGAAAAAGTGTCCGGAGAATTCTGCGAGCTAGCCAGCCTGAAGAGAGTCAGGTATAAGCATCGTCAGAGGGAAAAATTGGCAATCTTGGTGCATTCTTTGCGAAAAGTCGGATCGAACAGTCCAGCTGAGTCGATTTGGTTGCAAACAGGCCGATATCGTACAAGCCATTCTACTTTGTGGCATCACGGGCCTGGTTCAAGCGAGCAGACACACTCTTTGTAGTCGAGTTGAGATTTGAAAGTGCTTGCCGACAAATCGGTGTGGATAGAAGAAGGACTGAATGAGCGGGAGTCTTTCGGGCTCGAACTAGGGCGTCGGAGGTGAGAGGGCTCGTACTACAATCTGTGGTACCCCCACAAACAGACCTCGATCGGGCCGGAATGCATATTCGCCACAACTGTAACCCACTCCGTAAGTCGGCGATTCCTGCATACCACCCGGCGAAATCGACTTTCCCGCCATGCACTGGTAGGTGGGAATCGGTTGCGAGATTGTGCGACAGATGAATTTGGTTTGTCGATGGCTTCCTTCAGGGCCTGATCGTCCCAGACTCCACGACGAGCCAGTCTCCTCCATCTGACCCGTCCGACCGCACGGCCCAACCGGCCTGAAATCGGACAACTCTGTCGACTTTGAGGTGACGCCAAACAACCAGAGACGACGTTTCTTCTCAACTGGAGCCACAAAATGGCGATAACTAGCCTCGGTTTGGCGTGACGCCCCCGGAGGCATAAATCCTCCCACCTTCGTAAGGTGGCCGATAGACCTCTTTGAACTGCCCGTTCGACCCAGTGGCGGGGTGCACCGGACCCCACGGTTGATGGTACCATCCTCGGGCTTAGCGACAACCTTAGCGAGAGTCGTTGGAGGAAGCTGTGGCGGCGGCGCCGATGGTGGTGGTGGTGGTTTCACATGACTCGCGACGTTGTAGTGCGCTATTGTCTCCGTGAGCCGTTGCTCCATAGTCGACATTTTGACATCAGCCTCGGCCGACCTCTTCGCCTCAATCCGGAGAGGCTGTGTTTCCGGGGCATCCGTCCTGTCAGGC